GGTCTGTCACCCAGGCTGGAGTGCAGTGGTGTGATCTCAGCTCACTGCAACCTCCACCTTCTGGGTTCAAGCAATTCTCGTGCCTCAGCCTCCTGAGTGGCTGGGACTATAGGTGGGTGCCACCATGCCTGGCTAATTTTTTGTATTTTTAATAGAGACGGGGTTGCACCATGTTGCCCAGGCTGGTCTCCAAGTCCTGAGCTCAGGCAATTCATCCACCTCAGCCTCCCAAAGTGCTGAGATTACAGGGGTGAGCCACCACCCCTGGCCACATCTCTTAAAATAATAATCATAATAGCAATAATGATAGTAACTAAAACGACCAATGATCCTGAGTGTTGATCATGTGCCAGCCCATCTGCTAAGATTGTCCCATTTAGAGCCTATAATGATCAATCCTTTGCATCGGTACTCTATCAGCTTCCTATTGTACTGACAAAGGAACTGAGGCTCAGGAGGCTAAGGATCATGTGCCACTAGTGGTAACAGGCCTTCACAATCTTTATGAAAGTATTCAGCTCATAGAACCTAAGACCATGTATTTTATTTCTGATGTCAAAGGTATGGCAGAGTGGCTCAGAGCAGAGTTCTGGAGTCAGCAGGACCAGGTAGAATCATTGCCCTGCTTCTTACTGGTGGAGTCCCACTTACCTCATCTGTAAACTGGGGGACTGTGACGATGAAGCGAGGCAGCATACTCAGAGCACTTAGCACAATGCCAGGGAAGGATCTGGACTCGGTAAATGGTAGCTATAGCTATTTCTGATCCAAGCAAAGCCAGAGACCTGGGGTGGGGACACGGGGTGCCTTGAAGTCATCCTGGAGCCCCATTTCCTGGGGTGAAGTATAGCTGAACTTGAGTGTCTCTAAGCCAAGCTGGACAGCTATAGCGCAAGAATGCACACAGCTGCTCCAGCCAACAAGCCAAATGTTCTTCAGCTGCGGCCCAGCCAATGAAAGAAGGGATGATGGAACAGAGGAGGAAGACCAAGTCAAGGGAAGCAGAGACATCTCTTTTGCTGTTCTACACAGAGAAAGGGAATAATGTGGGTAAGTTAGAGGCTATGCAGGTGTCTGGACAGGCCCCCTGGCCCTGGGGGAGCTGTAAGGGCAGCAGGTACCGCGGGAAGGAACCCCTCCTGCTGTCCCAGGACCTGGGCACTGGTGCGACTGCAGCAAGCCTGTCCTCAAACAACTCAGTTCTCCCAGCCCTGGGAAATGGACATGCAAAATTTTGACAACAACCAGGGAATGAGAAAAGTCAATATTGAAGATGAGACCTCCTGAGATCCTCAGGCACTCCGACTCTGTCCACTAGGTGCAGTTTCCTTAGCTCTAAGGCAGATGGGAAGGGATGGAGATGATTCCCCTAGGCCAGCCTGATTGACTGCTGTGAAATGGTGCAGATCCCAAGAACAATTCATTGCTAGGCGGGAGGTTCCCAAACAGCCTTTCACCATCCACCCAACAGCCTCCCTTTCTACCTCTCAGCAAATTGCACTAAGGGCTTTTACAACTGACTTGATTGACAGAGAAATTGACGTGAAAAAGGGAGCAGGGGGAGGGAAGAGAGGTACACAGAGTGACCATCTTAGTTCATTTGTGCTTCTATAAAGGAATACCCAAGGCTAGGTAATTTATAAAGAAAACAGGTTTATTTAGCTCAGGGTTCTGCTGGCTGGAAGTTTGGGCATCTGGTGAGAGCCTCAGGCTGCTTCCACTCATGGTGTAAGGCACTGGGGAGCTGGCATGTGCAGAGATCACATGGAGAGAGAGGAAGCAAGAGAATGGGGAGGTACCAGGCTTTTATTTAACAGCCAGCATTTGCGGCAACTAATAGAGGGAGAACTCACTCGCTCCCCACCCTGTCACCAGGGAGGGCATTGATCTATTCATGAAGGATCCATTCCCATGACCCAAACACCTCCCATCAAGCCCCATCCCCAACACTGGGTATCACATTTCATGAGGTTTGCAGGGGCTCAAACATCCAAACTATAGCAATGACCTTACTCTGCTTCTCCTAGGCTCGGTGTACAAGAAGTACCCTCAAGGAAGGGGCGTGAGAAGGATTAGCTCTTCTATTGACTTACCCACAAAGGATACAGTTTGCTCAAGCCAAGAGGTATTAAGTCGCTTGTACCAGCACATGCCCATTAAGCAATAGAGTAATTCCTTCCACCAGCCATTACTTCTAGGAGTGGGGGTATAATCAGAAATGAGAACAGGCCGGGCACAGTGACTCACACCTGTAATCCCAGCACTTTGGGAGGCCGAGGAGGGTGGATCACTTGAGGTGAGGAGTTCGAGACCACCTGGCCAACATGGTGAAACCCCTTCTCTACTAAAAATTTAAAAATTAGCCAGGTGCAGTGGCACGCCCTGTAGTCCCAGCTACTTGGGAGGCTACAGCATGAGAATCGCTTGAAACCGGGAGGTGGAGGTTGCAGTGAACCGAGATTGCGCCACTGCACTCCAGCCTGGGTGACAGAGGAAGACTCTGTGTCAAAAAAAAAAAAAAAGGACAAACCTGATAAGAACAATTCCTTACTGTGGCAGATGGGATAAGGGTTAAATAGAACTAAATTCAAAATCTAGGTCTGCTATTTCCTGCCTGGGTGACCTTGGGCAAATCACCTAGCTACACTCAATCTCACTGCCTTTCTAAAATAAGGACAATTGTGCCTGTCAAATAAGATTGATGTGAAGATTCATTAAAGTGAAATCAATGGAAATCCCCCATCTTGTGCCTAAGGGGACGGTTGTCCCACAACTATTCAATAAAAGCCTGAGCTTGGGTCTGATTGTGTCGATGGCGGATGCCATCCCTGGCTGCTTTGAGCCTGCCCATTGTTGTGTCCCTTGTTGTGACAAGGAGACTGAGATTATCCTAATTGGGTTAGAGTCTGAGTTTTCGACCAATCAGGGCTTTCCACTCAAATGTTGTGGGTGGGGTTGAAATGGATGTTGGGGAAGCAACAGCGTCCACTAGACTAGGGTCTGGGAGGTGCTCAATAGATTTTGTTGTTCACCCCCAATATTTCTTTTTTTTATTTTTTTTGAGACAGAGTTTCACTCTTGTTGCCCAGGCTGAAGTGCAGTAGCACTATCTTAGCTCACTGCAACCTCCACCTCCTGGGTTCAAACGATTCTCCTGCCTCAGCCTCCCAAGTAGCTGGGATTACAGGCATGCACCACCACACCTGGCTAATTTTTTGTATTTAGTAGAGATGGGGTTTCACCATGTTGGTCAGGCTGTTCTCAAACTCCTGACCTCAGGTGATCCACCCCTGTCAGCCTCCCAAAGTGCTGGGATTACAGGCGTGAGCCACTGCACTGAGCCTGCCCCCCATATTTCTTGTGCACTTCTCCCCCAAAGCCAGGGAAGGAATTTGCATGGGATGGGTGCTCAGTGAGGACCTGGGAATCCCACATTTCGAACATCATACAGGTTTCAAACATGAGGTTCTCATAGATGAATCAGATGATCATTCAGTTGAGTCTGAATTGCCTAAGATAATAGTTCCTTCCTTTATTCTAAAGTGGATGGCAAAATATGGGCTCAAAAAATTGAAGCTGGAGATTTCCAGATGCATGGGTCCCAACTGCACTCATCAAAAGTCAGGACAGAGGTCAGCATCAGCCAAACACTGCAGCATCTTCCCCAGCGTTGAGATCCGTGTAAGTCACGATTTTCATCACCGTTTTTTTTTCTCTCCCAACTCAGCTGCAAATGGCAGAGAGCAGTGTAGGGCACTCTGGCCTCTATTTCTGCTTGTGGGAACTGCCCTCCTCCCCAAAATGAGACCCCCCTCACCAAATAGGAGATGCAAAATCCTGTTGGGAAAAAAGCCAACTTCCCAGAGGGCCTCAGATCCCATTCCAGGGTTAGATGGGCTCATTGGAGTAAGAATTAGAAACAATTGCTGAGGCCAGGTGCGGTGACTCCTGCCTATAGTACCAAGTGGTTTGGGAGGCTGAGGTGGGAGGATTGCTTGAGCCCAAGAGTTTGAGACCAGCCTGGGCAACATAGCAAGACCCCATCTCTGGAAAAAAAAATTAGATTAGCCAGGTAGCTGTGTACCTGTATTCCCAGCTACTTGGGAGGCTGAGGCGGGAGGATGAGTTGAGTCATGGAGTTCAAGGCTGCAGTGAGCCGTGATCACGCCACTGCACTCCAGCCTGGGTCATGGAGCAGGAGCCTATCTCTTAAAACATAAAAACGAAAAGATAAGAAAAAGTAGCAATTGCTGAGAAGATTGGACCATGGCTGAAGTGTTCACCCATAAGAATGCTGTACCCCAATACTGATGACAGTTCTGTTATGGCAGCAAATAGGGGTTGTGATAGAAAGTGAAGGGTTCTCTTCTCTATTTTCTAATTTTGGGGTGATTTTTTATTGCTTTGACACTAGAATATGTAAATTTAGTACAGAATGAAAATCAGATCATTTCTCTCCTTGCCCTTTTATCCTACATTATCAAGATTAGGGGAAACTAAAAATAGCCACAAAAATTCAAAATTATTCACTAGAGGAACATAGGGTCATTCCAGTATGCTGCCCCTCTCCACCCTAAGTCATTATTTAGTTCAAAATTTATGAACTTCTTAACCCACCATTAAGCGTTTTCTATTTTAAAATTTAGAGATCATTGACCAGGCGCAGTGGCTCACGCCTGTAGTCCCAGCACTTTGGGAGGCCGAGGCGGCAGGATCACCTGAGGTCAGGAGTTCAAGACCACCCTGGCCAACACAGTGAAACCCCATCTCTAGTGTAAACACAAAAATTAGCCAGGCATGGTGCCGTGCACCTGTAATCCCAGCTACTCAGGAGGCTGAGGCAGGAGAATTGCTTGAACCCGGGAGGCGGAGGCTGCAGTGAGCCGAAATCGCACCACTGCACTACAGCCTGGGCAACAGAGTGAGACTCTGTCTCAAAAAACAAAAATTAGAGATTATTATGATTTTTATTAATACAGCAACTGCATTTGCCAAAAACCAAAATCATCCTAATTCCCTACTCCTTTGTAGAACCATAAATCTACTAGTTTAATAAAAGAAAAAATGGCTTTAAACAAACAAACAAAAAACATATGCTTAACAGATGGTTATTTTTTGTGGGTTTTTGTTTGTTTGTTGAGACAGGATCTTGCTCTGTCATCCAGGCAGGAGTGCAGTGGTGCAATTGCAGCTCACTGCAGCCTCTACCTCCCTGGGCTCAGGCAACCCTCCCACCTCAGCCTCCCCTAAGCAGCTGGGACCACAGGCACATGCCCCCACGCCCGCTAATTTTCTGTTTTTGGAAGAGATGAGGTCTCCCTATGTTGCCCAGGCTGGTCTTGATCTCCTGGGCTCAAGTGATCCTCCTGTCTCAGCCTCCCAAAGCACTGGGATTACAGGGATGAGCCACCATGCCCAGCCAACAAATGTTTTGAGAATTGTTAACCATGATGGAACAAACAATTTTAGGGGGTGATGGGGATATGAAGAAACGGCTGATGGGATGGATGCTTGCCTCCACTTGCCTTAACCCAGGGAGTGGTGAGACACATTCAGTGGACGCCTGGGGAGATGGAGGTGTACATCAGGCACTTGGAGAAGGTGTTAAGGCGCTATGTCCAGAGGCTGCAGTGGCTGCTGTCCGGTGAGCCTGCCCACTGCCCTGAAGGGTGGAGGAGCGTGAGGGGATGTGGAAGGCTAGCCCCAGGGACCCCAGTATCAGTCCTTCCAAAGCCAGGCCTTGTGAGAACTGCAGATCAGAGGATTAGGCCAGGAACATCATCCAGGTACAACATGACACTGGGAGGCTGGGCATGGTGGCTCATGCCTGTTATCTCTGCACTTTGGGAAGCCGAGGCGAGTGGATCACCAGTCAGTAGTTTGAAACCAGCCTGGCCAACATGATGAAAATATTAAAATACCTTACTAAAAATACAAAAAATTAGCCAGGCATGGTGGTGGGCACCTGTAATCCCAGCTACTTGGGAGGCTGAGGCAGGAGAATTGCGGAGGTTGCAGTGAGCTGAGATCGCACCACTGCACTCCAGCCTGGGCAACAAGAGTGAAACTCTGTCCAAAAAAAAAAAAATGACAGTGGGTTCAGAGGACAGGCAAGGGGCTGGATAACAGGGAGTTAGAACATGGGCCCAAGAGCTCCAGCGGGAGCTCACACATGTCACAGCCTGCTCTGCAAGGCCACCTGCCACACCTTGCCTTCCTGCAAATGACAAGGGGCTCACTGTCAAAAGGTTTGCTTTAATATTGACTGGGCCCTAGCAAAACAACCCTGGAGGTACAGATGGTAAGGGGAACTGACAGAGCAGAAACCCTCTGTTTTTTTATTATTATTACTATTTTATTTTAGAAACATGGTCTTGCTCTGTCACCTAGTCTGGAGTCCAGTGGTGCGGTCATGGCTCACTGCAGCCTCGAACTGGGCACAAACAATCCTCCCACCTCAGCCTTGCAAGGAGCTGAGACTACAGGCACGTGCCACCATGCCCAGCTTACTTTATTTATTTTTTTAAGATACAGAGTCTCGCTATGTTGTGCAGGCTGGCTCTGAACTCCTAGGCTCAAGCGATCCTCCTGCCTCGGCCTCCCAAAGTCCTGGGATTATAGGTGTAAGCCACCGCGGACCTCTTTTCAGAGAGCACCAAGTCCCCTCCTGGAAAGGCAAATGGACAGGGTTGGGCTGTGGATTAAGAGATGGTCTGAAGCATCAAACCCAAGAAGGTGGGCAGACAGCTAGAACTGGACAGGAGGGGATTCAGGCTATGGGGCCTGGAGGGTTTCTGGGGCAATAGGAGGAGGGAGGAAGGGAGTCCTATATGGAGATCCTACAGGTGGCCTTGTATGTGCCACTCAGGGTCTATGTAAATTCATTAGGTCCAGTCCTCTGCAGTAGGACCTGGTATAGATGGTCCACGGACAGGGGCGTCATGATGACTGCTGCTCCAGGTACAGTTGTCAGGTCAGAGGCTGAGCTGGGACAGAGAAGGCATGAGCCTCTCTCCACTCTGGGTTCACATTACCCCTGGGAATGGTGACTTAAAACCAGAGATCCAGCGATTTCTTTTGCAGTACAAGTCCCCCAGCTGACATACCAGTACATACCCAAACACTATCTAATATTTCAAAGCAATATCATGATACTATTGAATCCAATCACTTAACTTTAAGGATGAAGAAACTCAAGCCCAGGAGGTTTAACCGCTTATACAACTCATCACAGACAAAGCCAGAGCTGAAATCTTGATCTCCTAAAGCCCAAACCGCTGATCAGGTCTGCCCTTGGACAATCGCCCCCTCCCACAGCACCACAAAGGCCGTCTCCCAGTGGGGTGACATCCAATCAATGATGAGGCAGGCAACAGGTGTCGCAAGACTTTATAGTTGATAGATACAGTGAGGGAAACCACCCAGGAGGAGGGACCCCTCACCCCCTGCCTCTGCCCCACCTGTCTCGGAGCAGGGAGCCGCCGACTGTTTGGCACTGTTTTGGAGAGCAAAGTATGCATTTTGCTGGACACGTCAGGGTCCATGGGCCCCTACCTGCAGCAGGTGAAGACAGAGCTGGTTTTGCTGATTTGGGAACAGCTGCGGAAGCGCTGTGACAGGTAAGAGGCGAGGGCTGATCAGGAAGATCAAAGGGGCAGTTCCCGGGGCTTCCCTGGTCAAGCACACCGTCTCCTCTCAGTGCCAGCAGGCCTGGAGTTTCTGAGGTGCTCTTCTGAGTAACGCATTTGAGTAGGAAAGAGCACTGTATTCCGCTCTGCTGTGAAGGAAAGCAGTTTTTAGAGGCTGGGTATGGTGGCTCATACCTGTAATCCCAGCAATTTTGGGGGCCAAGGCAGGAGGATCACTTGAGCTCAGGAGTTCAAGACCAGCCTCAGCAACAAAGTGACACCCCATCTCTACAAAACATTTAAAAATTAGCTGGGTATGGTGGTGTGCACCTGTAGCCCCAACTACTTGGGAGGCTGAGAAAGGAGGATCACTTGAGCCCAGGAGGTTGAGGCCGCAGTGAGCTATGATTGCACCAGTGTACTCCTGCGTGGGCAACAGAGTAAGATGCTGTCTCAAAAAAAAAAAAAAAAAGGAACGCAATTTCAGGCCTAGGGACAATTGCAGGCACAGCAAAGGAACTACCATGTGGCCTTGACGTAGGGCTTTCAGCTGAACTTGATTTTTCTAATTTTTTAATTTTTTAATTTTTTAAATTTTTGTGAACTTGATTTTTGAGTGGAGGAAGTTGTTTACTTTCCCTATCCGGAAGGGTTGACCCTAAGGGGACCCCAGGGGACTCTCATCTTAGACTAGGCCTCGTTCTTGCCTTAATCAGAGTACACATTTCTTGAGCACTTTCTGTGCACCAGATGCTTTACACGCATCATTGCATCAACTCTCACAATGAGCCCGTGAGGCGTTGCTGTTATCAGCCCCCATTTTTCAGAAAAAGAAGCCAGGACTTCAAGAGGTTAAGACACTTGCTGAAGATTGGGTAACCAGTCACTGGGTGAGCTAGGATTGTTTGGGTTTTTTGTTTGTTTGTTTGACACGGGGTCTCATTCTGTTGCCTAGGCTGGAGTGCAGTGGTGTGATCATAGCTCACTGCAGCCTCAGCGTCCTGGGCTCAAGTGATCTCACACCTCAGCCTCCCAAGTAGCTTGGACTACAGGCACACACCACCATGCCTGGCTAATTTTTTTTTTTAATTTTTTTGTAGAGATGGGGTTCTCACTATGTTGCCCAGGCTGGTCTTGAACTCCTGGCCTCAAGCAATCCTCCCAGCTTGGCCTTCCAAAGTACTGGGATTACAGGCACAAGTCACTGTGTCTGGCTTGAGCTGGGATTTAAATCTATCTCTGTCTGCATCCAAATCGTCAGTATGTACCCTCTCATTCTCAAGAGGCCCCACAGCCCTCTCCCTGAGAGGCCACAGGGCTCATTGTAGGAGTCTTCAGTCTAGACAGGCCTATTCTAACCAATCTCTTTCTCCCCTTCTCTGCCCCTCACCTCCTCTTTTCCTCCTCCCCAGTTTTAACCTGCTCAGCTTTGCAGAGAGCCTTCAGTTGTGGCAGGACACGCTGGTGGAGACCACAGATGCAGCGTGCCATGAGGCTATGCAATGGGTGACCCACCTGCAAGCTGAGGGCAGCACCTCCATCTTGCAAGCATTGCTGGCAAGTCCCACCACGGAGCCCGACCTTGATGCAAAACAAATACCATCGTCCCCTGTGCTGACACTGCACGATGCTTTAGGATTTACAAAGGGCACTTTAGAATTGACAAAGCACATTTCATCTTCCCAACACCCCAGTGAGAAAAGGATTCTCGATGTTCTCACGTTATAGACGAAGACACAGGCTGGGTGTGGTGGCTCACACCTGTAATCCCAGCACTTTGGGAGGGCAAGGCAGGTGGATCACCTGAGGTCAGGAGTTCGAGACCATCCTGACCAACATGGTGAAACCCCATCTCTACTAAATGCAAAAGATTAGCTGGGCGTGGTGGCACATGCCTGTAATCCCAACTACTTGGGAGACTGAAGCAGGAGAATTGCTTGAACCCAGGAGGCAGAGGTTGCAGTGAGCCAAGATTGCACCATTGCACTCAAGCCTGGGCAACAAGAATGAAACTCTATCTCAAAAAAATAAAAATTAAAGAAAAATAGATGAAGACACAGAGGCTCAGAGAGGTTAAGTGACTTGCTTGGGATTAACCAGCTAGGCAGCGAGCCATGCTCTTCCTCCTAAACCTCAGCAGTTTCCTTGGTCTGTCTGAGGCTGAAAGAGAATCTCTCAGTCTTTTTGAACAGGTCAGAGGCATCCAATCAGATGCGTTTTGGCAGAGGCGGCAGCAGGCACCACCTTTAGGCATTTGGTTCTTGTCTTCCGGGTGAGCCTCTCCCCTGAGCTTGACAGCCGTCCTGTGTTCTTTCAGAAAGCTTTCAGTTTCCATGATCTGGAAGGACTGTACCTCCTGACCGACGGAAAGCCAGACACAAGCTGCAGCCTTGTCCTAAATGAAGTCCAAAGACTCAGGGAGAAAAGAGATGTGAAAGTGCACACCATTTCCTTGAACTGCTCAGACAGGTGCGCGATATGGAGCCACACATCTCAGCAGGGAGATCCAAGCTCCCCACCTAATCTACCTGCTCACTTAGACGCCGGTCTCTCCTGGGCCCTAATCCTGTAAATCAGAAATTAGGAGAAGTGGCCGGGCGTGCTGGCTCACGCCTGTAATCCCAGCACTTTGGGAGGTTGAGGCAGGTGGATCGCTTGAGATCAGGAGTTCAAGACCAACCTGGCCAACATGTCTCTACTAAAAATACAAAATACAAAAATTAGACAGGCGTGGGGGCACGCGCCTGTAATCCCAGCTACTCAGGAGACTGAGACGTGAGAATCGCTTGATCCAGGGAGGCAGAGGTTGCAGCCAGCTGAGGTTGCTCCATGGCATTCTAGCCTGGGCAACAGTGAGACTGTCAAAAAAAAAAAAGAAAGAAAGAAATTAGGAGAAGCATTGTTTTTCTAGAGGGCCCAAGCAGGTGTCACACCACAGGGTGAAAACCCCTCTCTTTATTCAGACATTTCCCTCTGACTTCCTCCAGCCTGGAAACACATTTGCACGAGATTCACACAGTCATGTCACAGTCTCCCTCCTACTCTTCCCTAGGATCACATTTGTGAGTATTTAGGGGACATTTAGGGGAAAAGCTAGAAAGAAAAATATTAATGTAGCCTCATCATGGTTATTTTTATAAACGATCACTATAGAACATGTGTTATGACTGGGCACCATGGCTCATGCCTATAATCCCTGTGCTTTGGGAGACTGAGGTGGGAGGATCACTTGAGGCCAGGAGTTCGAGACCAGCCTGGATATCATAGCAAGATTCTGTCTCTACAAAACAAAACAAAAATGTGAAAAAGAACACATGTCAGATAAGACTCAGCACCTTCAAAAATCAAAACTTTACTATTAGCAAAACAGACTACATAGGGACATATTTTATCTCTTGGTCTAAACCATAAGCCCCATAAGTGTAATATGTGTCCTTTACAGGCCTAACACATAGTAGGCACTGGATAAGTGTCCCATAAAGAAATGGGGGCTAGGCTGGGCACGATGGCTCACACCTGTAATCCCAGCACTTTGGGAGGCCAAGGTAGGCAGATCACCTGAGGTCAGGAGTTCGAAACCAGCCTGGCCAACATGGCGAAACCCCGTCTCTACTAAAAAAATACAAAAATTAGCCTGGCGTGGTGGCCGGCGCCTGTAGTCCCAGCTACTCAGGAGGCTGAGGCAGGGGAATTGCTTGAACCTGGGAGGTAGAGGTTGCAGTGAGCCAAGATCATGCAAGATCACTCCAGCCTAGGTAACAGACTAAGACTCTGTCTCAAAAAAGAAAAGAAGAAATGGGGGCTGGAGTGTGTGGGCTGTGTGGTTTGAGGGGGTCCAGGCTAGATGGCGACACTCACACGGGGAACACGGGGACTCCTCTTCCCTCAAGCAGCAGCAGTTGCTATAGCCATCCATAAACTGGTGGGGAAAGTGTCCTTTGGTGTTCTAATGGTGGTCTCCATGGCACAAGCCACTGCCCATTGCCAGGCTGATTTCTCTTAAGCCCCACAGACTTAAGTTCCCCATGGACCTGGGGAGTCACCCCAACTAGGCTGGTCAGTCAGCCTCCCCACCAGCCCTCTGTCCCTTCCTTCCAGAGCGGCGGCTGAGTTCCTGAGAAAGCTGGCTTCCTTTACCGGCGGACGCTATCACTGCCCTGTGGGTGAGGACACACTCTCCAGAATGTGCGGCCTGCTGACCAAAGGCTTCATCAATGAAAACGTAAGTTGCAGAGCCACTGAACATGAGTTCTGTTGAAACAACTCAATAAAATATCAACAGGTATGGGGTTTTCCTTCTTGAACTCCTGGGCTCAAGTGAACCTCCCACTTTGGCCTCCCAAAGTGTTAGGATTACAGGCATGAGCCACCACGCCCGTCCTGGGTTTTCCTTCTGACTAAAAAGATCTCTGCTTTTCGTTGAGACAAAATATTAACTAAAAAGGATTGGGTTTCCCTGCCACTGTCCTTTTAGGCTGACTCTCCTCAAGACTGGGAAAGAAGCAGGATTTGAGGGTGGTGTTATGTTTCCTGATGATCAGACCAGTTTGCCTGTGTTGGAAATTTATGTGGCTTTATGTAGATTACCTCTTTTAATGTTATACCCATTTAACAGATGAACAGCAGGCCCAGCGAGGTTTAAGAATACACCTAAAGCTGGGCACAGTGGTGCACACCTGTAATCCCAGCACTTTGGGAGGCCGAGGTGGGTGGATCACTTGAGGTCAGGAGTTTGAGACCAGCCTGGCCAACATGGTGAAATGACGTTTCTACTGAAAATACAAAAATTAGCCGGGCATGGTGATGTGAACCTGTAATCCCAGTTACTCAAGAGGCTGAGGCAGAATTGTTTGAACCTGGGAGACAGAGTTTGCAGTGAGCCGAGACTGCACCACTGCACTCCAGCCTGAGTGACAGAGCAAGACTCCGTCTCAAAACAAACAACAACAAAAAAAACTAAAGTCAGAGGAAGTGGTATAGCTAGAGCCCCAAGACACCCACGATCTTAACCTTTGTGCTTTAATTCCTGCATATTTGTGTCTTCTGGGGTTCAATTCATTGAAACACAGACATTCAAGTTATCTGTGAAGCAATAGATCTAGCAAAGTCATAGGTTATCTATGAAGTAATAAATCTAGTAAAGTCATAGATTTCAATGATCTACTTCTGACTTAACAGGAAAATTCTGCACATATTTATACCTTTTAGGAATGCAATGTTGCCAGTGATAACATTCCCAGGACAACAAATTATCAAGTAAGACAACCAATCAGAAATCCAGATTTCTTTTCAGCAGTTAAAGGTTACTTTCACAGGACATGGCATAATTTTTTTTTTTTTTTTTTTTTTTTTTTTTTTTTT